TATTGATAAGCATAACATATTAAAATGTTGAAATTATGCTTATTTCTTTGAGACAGTTAATATGAAATTATTGATTTGTAAGTATGTATACATATCTATGAGCATGTGTAGTGTTCTTATTCATAGTTTACCAATGTGTTTATATATGCAAGCATTTACATGTGTGTATGTATGTGTGGGTTAGATTTTAATCTTCGTACGTTTATTGTTTTTGTCTTGATCTATTTAAACTAAGGTGTCAAGGTATTGAATCAGTCAATGACGATAGTGTACATCTCTTCTGAAGGTGACTATTATTACTATTATTGTTAGTAATAGTTGTAGTAACATCGTTACTGTTATTGAAAGTTTAAATTAATTACTAAGTGACTGAGTATATTTTATTTAGAATATTAAATAAATTATAAAACTTCATTTATTGAACTGAAATCCATAAAGAAAGAGATACTGTGTGCATACCACCGGTAGGAAATATATTTTGTTGTAAACTGATCAGGCATAGAAAGACATTGAAATACAAGACTGGATAAATTATTTTTTCCTATTGTGAGGACATTGTATGAATGCGCATCCCTTTCGTGGGGTCAAATTTAAGATTAATAAGTCATAAAGTAATTATGATGCTTGTATATTACTTATTTGAGATCCGATTATTCATATTATCAACTTCATTCCAAAGTCCAATGTGACGATCGTCATTCAATGTAACCGATGATAACTGTCTAGTTCTTTGTGTATACGTATAGAAATATCAAAGCTGTTACGATTATTACTGACTGGTACTTGGAATAAGAAAAAATCGACGTTTGCATGGCATAAGGTAAAAGATTTTATTTACCGTTTAAGAAATAGTAACAAGTTATCAACCAAATACACTTATATACACATCATACTAAGATTTAATGATTAACTGATGAAGATTAATTACATGAAATAGTGATAACATAAAATGAATTTTTGTTGAAATAAGAAGAAATGAATGCTAAATGTCATACCGCAGTAGCAATACACTAAACGAATATTAAAGAATGTGATGTTCATCAAATATTACGCATATATCACACTGAATTCGAACATGGCCTCAAGTTTTATCAAGGCCTAATTATATGTATTTAAACAGAATAAATATATATTAATCATTTATGTAACCAAATCTTGAATATATAAAGCTTTTTATTTAAAGAAGTTTACTTGGTTTAATTCAATCTAGTGTATATAAGCCTGTGATATCTGATTATGATGATCAGTAACAGATAAGTAAAAAATATCACATTCCCACAAAGAAATCCGTCACAGCTCGAACAAATCAGTAGTAACATTTGTGACAGTAACACTACATAAAATGTAGTTCAGTTCTACGGTAAAGTAACATCCGACCTTTCTGGATTATAGATATGCCCAAACGAAAAAATCCCTGACTGCTTGCCACGTCCAACCACCGTATGTGTACGTATTTATGTGTAATCCAAAAGGGAACGGTTAATACTACAGAAGGTAGCTACAGCAATACACTAATAATTTATTATAAAAGTGAATTCTAACAAATAAATAATGTAGTGAAATATTCATTAAAAGATACATAAGAAAAGCTTACTACACATCATTCTGCCTATACATTAATAGAGAAAAAAAGTAATTTCTTGCATACATGTATCTCAACCTTAGTCCTTGATCAAGAACGTGAATAAAACATAACAAGATTTGTAGTGAAAATTATTGTGAATCAGTACAATATCAGTTGTTGTATAACTGAAGAGTAAGCAATCACACACAAACGATTTATTAAGCCAAATATCACTGCAGATTTTATCAAAATAACAATTATTGTTTAAAAAAGAAATTGAACACACCTGATGTAGACCAAATCAAAACGGAACCAAAATATTCAGATTTTCTTTCATTACAGGTTAAAGCTGTTTGAAATTACTAACAAACAACTAAATGTGAGGTTAGATGATTGTGAAAAATAGGCTTGTTTTCAAAATACTTGAAATTAAAACACCAACGTAGAAACAGATATCTTAATTCATTCTGACAATAATTGCACAAGTCGATGTATCGATGTATCTATTAACCGACTCAGAAAATGATCAAATATTATGATTTATAAGTGAAATTTTGAGTCTGAGAAGTCATAATTTTAAAATGTTGTAAAAACCCGTTCTACTGACGATTCGAGTAAATCAATGAACGATGTCTTAAACTAAATGCATGAAAATGCATCTCACACAATCGATTTTTGAACCAGGTAACTAGAATTGCACACCTACACATATTTCTTATGATATCTAATGAGACTTGGCAACTGAAAATATTTTAGGTCAATCAAATAATGAGAGACAGTAATGCAGATTAAGCTACATACTGAATTTGTTTTGTGTTTTCAGGTGTTTTTCAAATCAATTTGTATTCACGACATTACTTAACAACTGATGAAGTATTAAGGAACTCTGAACTTCATTTGATATGAAATGATTGAAGTTGTGTTGAACATAGTGGGATGTGATGGATTTTATCTATGCGGTTCCAAACATGTGTTGTGTATTTTATTTTTTTTTATTAGAGTGTGATTGGCAATGGACTCTGAGTAGAAATGTCGTCGATTCGATGTAAATAATGCGAGTTTTATGAAACCTTACCGAAGCAAATATTCACATTCTGTCACGCTTAATACACAATAATCCTAATGTCTTTACACTGACTGATTAAACAAACTTACTAGCAAATGTGAAGATCTTTCCCTAGTATATTAAATGTCCACATGAATTTCAGTAATTTAAAGAGGTGTCGTATCTTTCAAACGGCCATTATTTAGTGTTAGTTCGACCATCAAATTAAGACAAAACCTGGATGTTTCAATAAAAGTTCAGCATAAACGAATTACTGTATAGTTTAGAACAGTTTTTGTTAGTTAATTTAGGAAATACAATTAATAGTGTAAAATTATTTATATTGAAGTTATCAAGACCGCTATTCATATAAACTTGAAAAGAACATCAACATTATCTCTCGTTGATCAAAAGGCAAAAGGAAGCACCAAGTAGTTTTTTTCTAGAACATGTAGTTGATATTGCCCATTGTCTCGATACCATGTTAACTTTCAAAATTAGAGTTCTATCGAACTTGCCTCATGTGTTTAGAATTCGTCTCTTACATACAACAGAACCTATAGGAATATACATAAATAAACGTAGTCACTGTGTACAGAAAATGCTTTGTGAAGTATTTTGATTTACTCTGACCTTTTATTTAATTCTGCCTACACTTCTCAATTTCTATATTTCGAGCTTACACAATTCCTTTTTACCTAATTCTTACCTAACTAGTTGTAGCAACTGATTCACTATGTAATCTTGTTTTCAATTAAGCTGTCATCAGTTGACTTACTAACTGATCACTAGTTTCTAAACAGATTCTAGGAAATTCATTAAAAAAACTAATCTACTACTAATTAATATTTGATATTGATTTATCTTTAAGTTGATAAATGTTTTTATTACGGCAGAGACTTTGACAAGAAACTAGTTAGAGAAAAATATGTTTTTCTTCACATAATTTAGACCTTTTTAATATACTAACAAAACTATTTAACTTCAAGTATGTATCATTATTAAATGTGTTTCCTAAGCTACTCTTAGTAAAATAAGCAGATAAATCTATTAGAAACTCAAAATTAATTAATCATAAATGAGAAAAAGAAAAATCACTAGTCAATAATCTAAATATTAAAAATTGATAACAATATTGAAATTATTGTTTTGTTGGGACTGATTAGACAGGAATATCATAATTTGAACAATATATCATAGATATTTATATGGTTGTTTGTATAATTAAAGTAAATTCAAGATCAAGTTTTAATGGTACTAACCAATTTATTAATGCAGTTGTCAACAGTTAGCTTTTTTGGTTAGGTAGTAATGCTTTGGACAAGTAAATCTGTATTGGTTTAATAAAATTATATTGTGTGAGTGTGTATAATCAAGACTTTTTGAAGAAAGATAACTCTTATTTAGTACAAATATACTTGTGAATATACGATGATAAAAATGTCATTTTTTACATGAGTTTGTGGTTAACCGCTAAAAAGCTATAATTAAAATGATAGTATTATAAAATTAGACGAAATATATTTTAACTGGGTTTAAGTCTCACACGCGTTTGTGTAAGACCGAGTGTGCTAGGTTCGAGTCCTGCGTGTGAGATCGTGGCTGAGTATTGCTGAGGTGACTCATACTAATACGAAATGGTTATCTAGTGCTTTTAGGTTTTCGATGGCAGTCTATGATTGATTGGTTGATGATTTCAATGGAATTTACCAATCGCTGTAAATGCTTACTGATAAAAGACTTTTTTATTGAGTTTAAGTAATTTTATTCGAAGGTAAATTTTAACAGATAGAATTCTTGAGTTTATTTTTTCTAATCTACACGTTACATTTAAACAAATTGCCACTGTCATATAAATTCTATTATTCCATTCTATGATGCGACCAATTTATCACAAACAAAAAATAACCGCATGAAGAATTACATGATCTTCAATAAAATATTACTATTTTAATTAAACGAGCAATGTTTAAGAGTCTTAATAGTGTTATATATTCTGATTGGATTATCAAAAAGTCGTAATTATTTAGTAATTATAGCAAAATTATCTTCAAATATGTATAACTTGCCTAAATCGTGTTTTATGAGTCATAAAAGAGATAATAGGGATAGATAGACATTTTCCTGATCTGAATTTGTGATCTTTAGGAAGGATGTTTTCTAAAAATCGATTCACTTTAAAGACAATGATCATAATCAATCGAACTTATTGATAGAACCATTGTAAACGGAGAAATGATTTCTGTATGCTCTTTTTTAGCATACCCTGGGTTAAATCTGATTTAAGCCATTATTTAATGCTTAAGTGGGTCTGTTAAAATTTGGTAATTGATTCCAGTTCAGCAAATTATGATAATTTGACATTGAAATTTAGTTCACTTCAACACTTACTGATTTGTTCGATCATAGTCTGGTGCTAAAGCAGTAGTAACAATTAATTTACCGTCAGGTCCACATAAATAGTTGACACGTTTTTTGGACTGATTATTATTTGATTTACCATCATCAGTATTTTCTTTGTTTAAACCATTGTTTTCTCAAAAAAAAAGAAAATGAAAAAGAATTAACATAATCCAATTAAGTAATTACATAAAATATATTAACGTCCGTGAAACTGCACTTTGCAAACAAACCAATCAATTTTAAGATGGTACCATTCGGATGTCTGCACAAATTTTAAAATTTAATTATGGGTAAACAGCAAATAATTAAATCATAATGTAAAAACTGAATAAAATTGTGAGACCTTAAGGTCTTGGGTTCAATTTCCTGTAAGGTTGTGGATGTACAACCCTGTAATCTTGATAACTTTCATGATTTTTACACACCTTTATATTGATAATTGAAACGATTGTGAGCATTTCCTAAGATAATGATGAGAAAATTATTAATTTGACAGCGGAAAATATAACTTTCTTTCAAAGTAGCTTAAACAACTTAAGTTTTCAATTCAATGAACTATCTGCAATAATGGTTGCAAAGCATTGCTTCATTATAATCGCAGACCTTACTCTAATTTGAATCTTCATAACAATGTCAACCATTTAAGTAGTTTTTATGAGTTCCATTTTTTTATTTCTGCAATAAATTATTTATTCATAACATATACACTTTGATTGTCTAATAAATCATTGAAATTCCTCAGGGTGGCTTGCAGAATCACCCAAGGTTATGCATAAAGTATAGTACCGGCGCACGAAAGACTGTGATTTGTTTGACGGAAGGAAGAAAATTGAGACTACAGACTGTCTGTTATACACCATAAATAATTCAAAACTATATCTAAATAGAACCGGTTATACCTGGATTATTTATGTAATCATTAATCAAATATGAATACACTGAGTTAGACAATACTTGATGTTGGTTAATTAGTTACAATTTACATTAGCAATAAAATAAATTGCTCTGATTAAAAAATATAGGTCAATTACAGTGCTACTTATCTACTCCTTTATAACATTTACAAATTTTAGTACAGAGAAAGAATAAATAAATGTTCCTTTATTTCCTGAATGCATTACAGAGGGTTTGATAACCTTAAAAATATATACACATTAATTAGTTGAGTATAAATATAAGATACACTGAACACCGTATTTCATAATGGCAGGAAACTATTGATCACAATTAATAAATTTTAAAAAAAATCTCTTAGGATGGATATCTGAGTTGTACTAAGAAAAAGGATAAAAAAGATTTCAATTGAATTTTAACGAGAGAATCGAGGACAAAAAATTATCACAGAGGGATATCAGCTCATAAACTATGGCAAATTTATTTAAGTATTCAATTGTATAATATCTAATTTTATGCCCGTTTCTTAAAACATATATTTGAAATCAAGACTTTCTCAGTTGTATTTAAGTTATGATTATTGTCTTTAACACAATACTCTGTAATGTTTTATCTACTGACGATCATCTGTACCTAGAAGACTTATTTTATTTTCTAGAGTTTTTACGTTTGTGAGACCATTCTCCATTATTCATTTGAAAAGTTCTGAATAACTCATTTATCGATTCCAGGTAAAAGTAATCAACTTGGGATCATATTGTATGTACTACCAAACTGTTCATTTCAAATTATGTAAAGTGAAGTACAAACCTTTGTAATATTGTTTGCGATTTTGCTATTTTAATAACTCTTAACTTATAATAATATTTTTACGATTTTATCTTCCAAACACAAACAAATTTCAATGTATATCGATCTATTAAAATTGGTTCTTGTTGGACATTTAATCAAATAAGGAAGGGTATTTACACTAGACTTTTGATTGTTGAAGTTATATTGGTTGCAACATTAAACACACTCTCGGCATAATAATAGGCTTTATATAAAAAGAACAATAAGAACGGAAGTTCAATTATCTGACCAAGTAATTAATATTGTTAGTAAATGTAATACTTAAAACAATTACTAATCAAATACCTTTGAATGACCTTTTTCAATCTTTGTATTTTCAATAAAGATTTCAACTTTATTCGTTAGTTTTCTTTTCTCGCTTACATACGGTGTTAATAATGTAGATGTAAAAGTACAATGAAACAATTTATTTTATGGGAAACTACTTAACAGAAAAAAATTTTTTCTGAAAAAAAGTTGTTCATAATCCATTGATCAACAAATCATATGGTTACTGTAAAAGGAACCGTATGTATCTTGATGTTTGCAGAATAAAATGCATTCAGTAATGAAAAAATTCATAATTATCGTTATTATCATAATATATCAGTTTGAATTGTTATAAATTCACAAAAAATCAAAAGAAATCAAAATTAAAATGGATAATAAATAGTATATGAGAAACAAATTAGAAAATAATATAATCCACAGGTTCAGAGTTTAAATTCAATGTACTATTACATATATCTTGGATCAACGTCAATAAAAAAAAGGTACCAGAAATGTTACAGTTAATTAGTAATTTTAAAAAGTAAATTGTTTTATTACCTATTAACATATCACTAACTTTATGAGGAAAAAATAATTCAGCTGACTTTTGTAAACAATGTATATTATGCTATTCATTAACGAAATACTCATATAACATATTGAAAATCCTTCAAACTTTCGATTTTTCTCAAATTGTCGTTGAATAGAAAGCATGTAATTCTCTCAAATAATTTCAATCTCACAGGTGGAATATAGATAAATGAGATTCGGAAATATGCTTATTAACATAAGTCAATGGTTAAGCAAATTTATTAACATTGAGTGTAATGGTAATACTTGGTCTTTTATTGATTATAAATAATAGATTATATTGTCAACATGGAATTTGTTGTACGGACTCTAAAGCCAAGTGTTCATAAACCTTGAACCCGTATTCAACGTAAATTTATTTACAAGTATTTTTGATTGTTATGACAACACTAATTACCAATTTTCTCGTTAACTAATACACTTGCCAAAAGTAATCGTTTTCACTCATTACATTTTTATATTGTTTATTCAATTAGTATACAATTCGTATCATAACCTTTCTTTATCACAAAAAGGGAAAATCACCTTGAAAGGTATAACAGCGCTATTAATTTCGATTATTTAAAGTAGTTTTAGGTTATTGGGTGCCCACCCTTTTATTTAAAACTGACACATTATTAGGATTGTTTATATTATGAAAATTATGATTAATGGTTCCTAATTATTACATCAAAAAGCATGAAAAAGTAAGAAATATCAAAATGTTTGTTCAGTCGGCTACAACGTAGGGCCAGACACATATATGTATTGGTCCTAGTTGCCACACTTCATTAGCACAACAAGATGAACACCGAATTCATAGAAGTAGTTAATTCAATGGTAGTAATATATAAAAGAATGATTGCATATAAGGATATAGTACAGGAAGAAAGAATTAATTCGTAGAAAGAAAGATATAAAGCAATTTTAATCTCATGGTTTAAGGGAAGACAGAGAGTGTATACACCGATGCCATTGTGATCGATTCTGAGCCATGTGATCAAGAGTCTCCAACCATTGGTTACAATAGTTGCGTGGACCCCAAACAAGTAGTCTACATCTATTAACATGGCACAGGCTAAAATTTAGTAACCTTATAAATTGATGCCACTTTTTAGTTTAGCCGCTCCTAACTTTCTTCCATCCGTCTCCAACTGTGTTTTGTTTTATTGTAATAGAGGACTGTATTTCCTTCTCATATGTATTAGAAAGTAAACAGTTTAGGTATTTTCAATTATCCTTATTTAAAATAACAGCTTAAATATATTTTTGTGAACAAATTTCAGTTGACTAATATTTTCATTGCAAAGATTATGTAAATGCTACATACCACGCGAATTCTCTTGCCTAATTAAATGGTTTTTCATTCATAGTGTATGCTTGCAACAGTAAGTCTAAATGCCTACTTTTTCTAAATACACTTACAAGGTAAAAGTAACTGAATCCGTTAGACTATATATTATGGTTATTAAAGGATCTATTGATACAATACCATCTATTAGTGTGTTAAAACAACGAAGTAAAGTTTTGTTTATCGACAATTTGAATAAGAGACAGATTGTAGCCAACCTTTACATCTGTCACTTAATTGTCACGTTGAAAAGTAATTGTAGTAATGAATCAGGTTATTTGATTATATTCTATCCAGACAAAGTAATGAAAACACATTAGTTGTAGATAACTATGCTGTTTTTAATGGTTGCATAATCCTAACTAATCACAATAACAACAATAAAGAAAAGGAAACTTGTTGAAATACCTCGTGCTTAGAATTCTATATTGTACCGAAAATATAATATTGAATAAAACCACTAATGATGAGGAAAAAATGAATGAAAAGATGACAATAAACACTAAGTGAAAGAGTTTCTTAACTTATCTGTATATAAGGTGATTAAAACTGTATACCCGTTATCTATTTTATCTGTTAGGTAGAGAAATGAACTATAGTATTAATAATGGTTATCAATCCAAGCTAAATAATTGGAAAAAAAATGTAGAAAATAGAATTCAGACAAAAACAAATAAATAAAGGCCGATCTCAACAAACGTTTAGTTTCTTTTCTTTCTCAAGTCATTCTAAATGGTGATCGTATTGGTAGGCGTGAAGGAAAATAGTAAAAGAAAACTGTCAACAACTATTGATAAACATACTAGACAGTACAACTTTATGTAACGGTAACATTTATGTAATGGTAAGTGAACAATAATAGTACTTAAAAATCATTATGCGAAACTCAATGTGTTTTTTTTGTATAATGGATGTGAAGTAGTTTCTTGTAACGTAAACATTCTGGTCATCTTTACATGGTTTAATAAAGTTTTATAACTGTCTATGTTTAGGCAGTTTAGATAATAAAGTCTCGTGGACATATATATAAATATAGTTATGAGACTTAGTTTCTGGAGATCGATTTTAACTTTATCAAACCAATTACTGTATGCTCACTAATGATTTCATTTAAATGAATTCCTGAAATCCTGATAGGTAAGAGAGAACGGTGGAGTTCAGCCATATTTATGAATGAAACACAAGTCTTTAATGAAATTGGTTGATCTTTGCACTGT